ATGTCTCTGGTGAACTGGAGACCTGTCCAGATGTCTCTGGTGAACTGGAGACCTGTCCATGTGTCTCTGGACTGATGTTGGTCTGCTCACTGCTACACTCTGCTTCAAATATAACAAACATTTTTTAAAAAGTTCTGTACTTTATGTATCATAACTCTGGTTTTACTTGGCCTATCAACACAATTTAAAGTCTCTGTCACATACTTATCCTTCAAATACAAAAAGTCAAAGAAAGTGTATTTATACTTTATAAAATTGAGCATAGTAGACATGATTTTACCCATTTTGTCACATAACTGGCCTGTTTTCTTTAAAATTTGGCTCAGCCAAAGTGAAACAGGAAGTGACATCAAAGGGGAACTAATTAATAAAATAAACTTGCTGGTTTTGTTTATCAAAACAAAATAATTTAAACTTTAACTCTTCTTCATCTCTCTTTGATAGCGACTAAAAATAATCTAAAGAAACATCAGATTATTCTCCACAGTCAGTGTTGTTAGCTTTAGTCACAACACTCTGTTTACATGCTGACATTCCCCTTTGACATCACTTCCTGTTTCTTCACATGCAAATATCTCAACAACCATTCGTCTGAGCGAAGTGAAATTTGTTTTGCAAAATGTTATTAATGTTCTCTTTCCAAAAATGCATTCATGTTTATTACAAAAATTTGATGTCACAGACCCTTTAAAAATAGATGTATAGCCTGAAGTCTGTACTGTTGACACCATTTGGAACAGATTTTTATGAAGAGCGAATCTTTCCCAATAGAGTGATTTAAATTGGTGATATAAAAAGGCCATGCAGGCGTCCMKGGACGCCTGCATGGCCTTTTTATATCACCAATTTAAAAAAGGCCATACAGGCGTCCAGGGACTCCAGGGGATTAATCATCATATTAATCGTTATTGGCTAAATATCACAATTAATTGTGATAAATTTTGTTATCCAATATGGCAGAACTCTAACTTGAAGGTGGAATTGGCGTCAAACATGCCTCATCTGAATGCTAAGTTAATACTTAATACTAACTCATCTGCAATAGAGGGTTTTAATGTTGTGTCTGCTTTACTTACATGAGCAGTGAGTTCTGAATGCCTTGACTGTGACTTTGTGCAGGAGAACCAGGAACGAGAACGACTGAGCCGAGAGAAGCAGAGGGACAGAGAGCTGCAGTTCAAGAGACAGCAGAGAGAACGAGCCAACCATGGAGATGCTCCCTTCTTCCTCAAGAAATGTAAGAACGAGTGGCTCCAGCTGCTCCTCAGGTTCCTCACATGCTGTGATGGTCTTTAACATCTGTGTAGAAGTGAAGATAAATCCAGCTGTGGAGGCCTGAGTGGATCACACACACAAACATCCCCTCTGAACATGTACCACTGTAGGGATTCACCACTACATGTGTACTGAGTACTCATACTTCAGTTTGGGTACTCGCTCAGCTAGTACCAATACAAGTACCGTATTTTTCGGACTATAAGCCGCGACTTTTTTCCTGAACTTTGAACCATGCGGCTTGTACATGGATTTTTTTTCTTCAGCCACCAGGGGGCTCTTATGCTCCATTTGCTTCAACCACTCGCTTCAAAAAAAGAAAGGAAAAAAAAGAAGAAAAAAGCGATCGCTTCCAGAGCCGACTGTTGACCAGGAAGCAGCGATTTAAAGATAGTCAATGGCCAAAAACTCATAAAAGGGGATAAAACAGACATTTTCCACAG